TTTACTCCTTGTGTAAGTTGACAGGTGCTTACAAATAATTCCTATTGTTTATCCCACGACAGTGTGCTTGTGTTAGATGTTATGTTACGTTTTTGAAAAATAGCCATATCTATTTGTACCGTATGGACTAATATTTCATTCCTTTGATGTGTTGCTTGTTAATGTGATATTCTTATACAACGTTGTGATACCAAAAATCTTTGGTATGGTCATGTTAAACATAGCATGGAATAATAAACAATGTACATATTTAATGGCTTTGTGTCTTGAAAAACGCGTCAAATATTCTTTGTGAAAGCATTAATTTAACCACTAGATTGCCCGAGGAAGTTATTTTGACTGCTTTGTAATTTCAATTAGAAAAACAATGACAGAATTTTGTGACTTTTTGTACAACATATAATTTTTTTTATTGTCAATATTTACTAATAACTTGTTATATAACTGTAAATAATAAAAAAAATATTACAAATTAATTTTAAACAAATTTCTTTACACGTTAGTTATTCTTTCACAATGCAGTCATTTTGACTGCTTTTGGGCAATATAGGTATACTTTACTAAGTTTCAGTCTTTCTAGTGTTAATAACATTTCAGTGAGGAAGAATGTTAAATATGTAGAACTATCTCCACTTATTCACCTCTTTAAAAGTCTTATAAAGTCTAAACTGTTTTTGGATTGCAAAAATCATCATTTTAATGTATTTTGAATGATTTATTCAATCTTTCAAAGTACTTCTTAAAGTTTTAACCCTTCATTTCACATCGTTGTTAATTTTTTCAATACATTTGCATTTGACTATAAATAAAACAAGTGTCTCGTTTATCAAGCCTCCCATTTTTGAAATTATTCAATAAAAATATTGTTAAAAATACCAAAAAAGCATTGAAAATAATTATATATTTTTTTTATATATTTATGTATTTTTTGTCTATTTATTATGTTATTTATATACAAATATGTTACTGTAAATGGCCGAAATGGGTGATTGTTGACAATCACGTGGTCACTTTGGTAAATGTCCGAAGTATATACTAGGTCTAGTGCCACTTTTGCTATAGCCTAAATATTTAAAAAAAAATTAAACAAAGCGTTTGAATCCATTTTAAACTGATAACGAAATTATTGTTTTACAATTAGAAAAATAATGATAAAAACTGCTCCAGATAAGAGAAAATATCTGGAAAAACAGATAAGAGTAATTGAAGTAGTTGCTTTATACAGCGCATGTGCGGAANACACTGCTGTTTTTTTTTTTAAGGTTCAGTGTCACTGCCCGGTACTCTGAACACTGATACTTCTACTCAGCAGATATTAAAATATTGAATAAATATAATAATATCAAAGCATAAATTAATATCAAATCTGATATAACAAATATTTCGGGCATTCACTGAAGCGACTATGTGATTGTTGACATTCACCGGTGAAAGTCGACATTCTCTTGATTTCGGCCCTTCATGGTAACACACATATATAGAGAGAGAGAGAGCAATTAAGAGTTTTCGCTTGTTTTAAGCCCTTACTCAAAATTTCAAGTGAAGTTTTCGTAATAAATTTATGAAATGTAGGGTTAAAAATGTGTTACAAAGCGTGGTTAGAAAGTAACTGTTTATTGCGTAAGTAAGCTGAAGTTTTCTGAAGAACAAAGGGTATCTTACTAAAACATTTAATAGTATTGAATAGCATTACTTAAGGGCTACAAATAATGTAATTAACGGAGACATAGTGTGGTTTTGATAAGTGCCATCGTCAGTGCTGAGTCTTTGTATTCAGTAGTAAAATTATTGTATCTTTGACCCTTCTTCTGTCTGTGACCAGCGCTTCTTGATGCTCACCAGAGGGTTGTGTTGACGATTTTAGTTAAGGCTTTGGTCAATTAGAGCGCTTTTTTTCCTTTTTAGTTCTTTGCTAATTTTAGCATACAGTGAAAAAGCAGGATTGGTTAAATTCAGGCTATTAAACATGACTGCTTAAACCTAATTAACGTTTCGTTTACAGGGACTTTCCCACATTGTCTTAGTAAGTAGGCAACCACTATATTTTATTTTGTTTTATAATCGTCGTTGAACAGCCGACACAATGTTTGGGTTTACGACTTCTAATGTTCAATTCCGTAGCCTTGTAATTTTGAACTCAATCAGGAAGACAAGGGAACTCCCGGATCAACTATTAGGAAAAATTTGCCTTTGTGGAGAACTTTTTGCTGGAACTAACCCGCATTTGCGTTACATGGAGAGGAAGAACACGAAACCCTCCGGCGGTTAGCCTGACGGCAAGGACTCTAACCCATGATCCGTCTACTGCTGAGGATTTTTCACGTCAGCACTGTGGTTGGTGCAAGCCGGATGCGGAATTCGTATCGACCAGCCATCGCTGGGATTCGAACCCGGTTCACATCATTGGAAGGCAAACGCTCTATCCCCTGAACCATGACGGCCCAGGCAACCACTATAAAAGTAATTTTGGAGGGCTACAGTGGCAGAGGTGTCTATTACTTCACCTGGTGGAAGGCTGGAAGCTGCAAGTTCGATCTTGACAGCCGATTAAACAACCGGCGTGTAAGCAAGTCTTCTCTTTAGTTGTGGCGTGGAAATTATTAGAGAGGGGTGACAGCTCAAATGATATTGCTGTTGAAAAATAGAAAACGAGGGTAGATACTTGGGGGCCGTGGTTGGGTTATATGTATACTTGTGAATAGGCATTGCATTTTCTTTGTAGTGGTAGATATACTACAGAACCAGACTCGAAATATTCTAAAATTTTCATCACGAGTCAAACTCAAGAAAATTGTGCAAGGGGTTAATCGGGTGTGTTTGGGAGGCTTTAGGAAGACGTGTATCTGCTTTAAATCCTTCTCACTTGTAACTGTTTTGCAAGAACAATGGTTCCCACTTCTAACGGAACTGGTAGATTACATAATGGAAAGCATCACACATGTTCTGTATTGCTGGAGGAAGTGATCATACTCCAAACTGAAGGTACTTTTTCTATTTCAAATTGATTTATTTATTTCATGCATAACCATAATTATCTGCCTGGTTAATACTTTTTATGTCATCACTTAAACTATTTTTTTAAAATGTTTAATGTGCATGGACTAGTTATATTTTATAGTCCTTCTCAGATCACTGACTTCCTTTTATATTATTATTAACACTTAATATATACCTATTTCTACAATCGCTGGTCAAATGACCGAACTTTGTTTCTTGATTGAATGTATGAAATATGGATGTTAAGAAGGAAATAAACTAAAAATACTTTTTTATAATTAAACAAAATTGTATATTACCAACTTTTATGTATTGCAAACACAAAGAATAAGAATTTTTAATTCAATGCTCAATGCATTTTTTACCAGGGTATTTCCATTGTTCATTTTCCACAAACATATTTCTTCTAATTATTTCTATAATTCTTTTAATAAGAATATAGAAGAATTATAATTCTTATAATCTATATTATATAAAACGCTAATACGTACGTATGTATCAATAAAACCGATGATATTTCTTTTCTCGCATTGGCAACAGTTTTCATTTTTAATTGATAGGCTTCGGCGCGCAAGAGCATGTAGTGAGCATCATATGGCTAATCTATATTATATAAAAACCTAATACGTTTTAATTGATAGGCTTCGGCGCGCAAGAACACATAGTGAGCATCATATGTCTAATCGGGTGAATTTTCACCGAATTATCAAAAAAATTCTCACAAAATTATCTTCATGGAAGCCGATGCTTTACATCTGGCGTTCAGTACTATTTCATATTGCTTTACAACACATGGTTTTAGTTCTCTGGTGGGAAAGACTTAAAAACAAAACTTACAACAGTTACTTTTCTAAACAACTGAAATTTAGAATAGTGTGATTAAGAAAAATATGCGAACTGTTTGCAATTTCAAATTAATATTGAAATGCACAGGTTTAGAATTTTCTACAGTGAAAAGTTTTCGGAACTTCAGTGTTCAAAAAAGTATACAAAAGCTAGACGTTAAGAACGTATCCAATGAGCGAGCAACGGATTGCGAAGCAATCTGAAATGAACTGCGAAAGCAGTTTTGGGGGTTGGCGAGCGCCAGCGAGCAGGGGGCGAAGCCTCCTAGTTAATATTATTTCTTCTAAGAACTTGTGCTGCCTGGATTGTTTTGACATTTTTCTGGATAAAAACTAACAGTTAGTTAGAAATGAAGTGAAGCTATCAAAATAAAATATAAGCTACGTACCAAAACATTTAGTTTTAGTCACTTTTTCTTACACAAAAATGCCGATCTAAAATTTTAGGTACTTTCTTGAAATTTGAATGCAACAGTAATTCTGATTAAACTAACTATGCTGTAATGTGCTACTAATCGAATGCAATACGTTGAACATGCATTACATAGTCATTTCTGATCGGTTAACCTTATAAAGTAATAAATTGTAGAAATAGGTATACAACAAGTATTATTTGAAACAAACAAAATACAACAAAAAAAAATAATAATAGAATATTAATTGTTAGAAAAAGTCATGAAGTTAAATGTGCAAAAACGATAAGATATGCGCATTTTCGATGGAAAAGTTCTTAAACGGTTATGGTATCTTTTTTAACCGGTAACGGTTCGACCGGTTATGGTATCTTTAGTGTTAAATAATATGTTGAGAGACAAAAGGCTCGTTGTTGGATATTTTCCAGTACCAGGCTTTGAAATTAGCCAGAGTCCTAACATTTAAAACATTATTTCATTTATTAAAATTCTCTTCAAAGTAAGAATGCCTCACTTTTAAAGGTACTGGGTCAACTTTTTCAATTTGGCAAATGTTCTGTTATTTATAAAACAGATTTTAAAGTGTCTGCATTTCAACTCACAGCAATTACTTTATTCATTTTCTTAGCATCCAATTCACAAAAAAGAGGAATTTTTTGTGATGGAACTTAAAAGCGTCTGATGTAATATGTCATCTAGTAAAAACATAATTTAACAATACATAAAAAATTTATTAAAATTTTGCAAACAGTTTTACATGAACAATGATAGAAAAACAATTTATACAGTAAAAAAAAAATAATGAATTTTTATTATAACATGGCACATAGTTTTAAAATATATTCTTTGTGATTAAAAATACTTTGTACGTCATTCATTGCAGACTATGTTTTTATGAGACTTCAAAATAATGGTGCGTTTATCATCTTCAGCTGAAAAGAAAAGATTTTAGTGGTGCAGCTCAGATACAAATGCAGTATTCATAGGAAGTATATTCAATACGGAAGTTGAACCTGGATGCTTCAGGGGATAAGGCGTTTGCCTTCTAATGAGGGGAACCGAATTCAAATCCCAGCGTTGGCTGGTCGATACATATTTGCATCTGGCTTGCACCGATCGCAGTGCTGAAATAAATTATCATGGCTTAGAGTCCCCTTGCCATTAGGCTAACCCTGGGAAGCTTTTACTCTCCATAAGTTCCCCAAATACTTGATCCAGAAGTTCCCTTGTCTTCTTGATTTTGTTCAAAACTACAAGGCTACGGAGTTGAACATTAGTAGCCATAAACCCCCCAAAATTGGGCCAGCTATTCAACGACGGTTATGAAATGAAAATAAGAGTTGTAATTTTGAGCCCTATCCAGAAGACAAGGGAACTCTTGGACCAAGTAATGGGAGAAATTTAGATGGAACCCACATTTGCTTTACGCGGAGAACGAAAACCTCCCATGGTTACCCAGACGTCATGGGGACTATAACCCATGAATTGTCAATCACTGAGAATACTTTACGTAAGCACTGCGGTCAGTGAAAGCCGGGGGTGGAATTCATATCAACCAGCCATCGCTGGGATTTGAACCCAGTTCACATCATTGGAAGGTGAATACTTTATCCTCTAAGCCATCACAACTCCTCCCTTACATTGCATAGAGGCTAACAATAAAAAAAAAACAGCAGGACAATGGGGGCAATATTCACAGTGAATCGTTATTGGATATTAGAAATTTTGCTTACCCTTCCTCCTAACGTCTGTCCCCAAGATAAAATGTGGTGAATATTTCTTAATAGGTTGTACAGTGAAAAAATCATCCACAATGGTTCAAGAAGGTGACTTCAAATGAGGTAATTAATTAGCACAGACTATATTTTAAATTAGGAAACCAGACACAAAACTGCACTTTTTCAGAATAAACACGACCTAAATCTGATAAAACTTTCAGATTCTTTTTAGTTTCTCAGAACTGCTAGCACAATTTAAGTCAGTGGTTCTCGAACTTTTTTGTCTAGTAGACCCCTTGCCAAGTTTTTTGTAGACCAAAACCAAAAAACTTTCTAGATATCGATTCTTTGTAAATTCATCAACTTCAAATGTATTTTTGACAGCTGGTATAGTGCTACTCACTGTGAAAGATTTAAATTTCTAACTGCAGTGAAGTGTAGTGCGTAAAACTTAAGAAAAAAAAACTCATGTTAATTTTATACATTGATTAATTAAAATTTAGTATCTGTTGCAATAAATAAATGCTTTTAGTGGGAGGGATGAGCCTGATGCTTTCATAATAAATTATCAACATTTGGGATCAATTAAGTTGGGTTTAATATCAAATCTCCTCGGTTAATAATGTTCAGTCTACTTTTTTTTTTTGTAAGGAAATTGGCAACTGCGCTAAAACTCCTTTCCACTAGGTATGAAGATGGAAAAGCAATTAAAAACTTTCTCGCTATATTCCATAATACGGGATAAGTATATGTGCAAGTTTTTACAAGTTCAAATTGTATTGCGACCACAAAGCGAATGCCTACAACTTCAACAATTTTATGAAACATACTAATTTAATTTAATATGTAAATGGAATAAAATAATGCACTATAAAACCCGTACTCCGCTACTAATATTATAATTGTGGAAATAAGTTTGTATACAAAGCCGCAGTAGTGTATTGTTGGTCTGTTTATTACATTTTCACGTAAAAACTAAGCAACAAATCTCCATGATCTTGTGTGCAGATAAAGTTGGAGGTCTAGCTAGCTGAAGCGTTGACACAGGCTAGGCTACAATTTACCTCAGAAAAATACTTTTTTGTTACAAAGTAAAACCTTGCGCGCAGAGAAAATAAAAATGTACACGGGTGGAGCTGCAGGCAATTGCTAGTTTATAATAATTAAGTTTCATATATCAGAAAATGATCCTAATCACTTAAATTTTAATAAATTTTTTACTTCATACAGGGATGAGATTTTTCCGCTTTTTAGCTGATTTCCGCTTTTTTCACTTTTATCTCTTGAATTTCAGCTTTTTTATCAAAAATTCAGATTTTCTAAAAATTTCACTTTTTTTAT